TGACATTTTGACATCATGTTCTTGGTCTACCTTGTCCTCTTCTAGTGTATGCATTGTTTGGCACAGGTCAGTCAGCAGGAGCACACGTATTAATACTGAGTATATACATAAGAGAATGGTATGATTAAAACACGCATTCACTCATTAACATTTACGCATGAGTACATAACGTCGACAGTTTGTGAAAATAATAATCCCCTTCCCCAGCGCCCACCCCCTCCCCGGCCCTGCCCCTTTGTCGGTCAACAAGAGGAGGTGTATGAAGAAGAATTAGATCATGATGACGATTGAAGAAGAAGAACTCCATAAACAGGCACTAGTGAATGTATACATCCCACGTTAGGAATTTTATTGATGTAATGACCCTCGCGGGTTTCCATAAATAGTGCTCTTGGAGTAGTCTCGGGTCGCAGCTCTGGAGTACTTGGCGAGTAATTTGTCAGGAGATCACGTTTACAAGGCAGCTCCCAGTGTTGTAATGAGCAAACAGGAAGGGGACTGCGTGCTTGTGGGCCTCAAGACTCCCGCGTGGTCAGCTCTGAAGTAGGTACCTCAAGTGGCGCAGTAATTTACAGGCTTGCCCACAAGAGCCCAAAGTAAATGCGATTTGACTGGAGGAAGACGTGCCGAGAAAGCTAGTGTGAAAATTATTATTTGTTACTTCTTATAAGTGCTACTGCGGTCTCACAGGATCTAGTTTTGGTGTAAACACACACACACACACACGCAGAACATCACCAGGGAAGTGAGCAAGCGAGGCAAAACCTACGCTTACACCCTGTTTGTTAACAGTCCGAACCGTAATGATCATTTTGTTTAAGCGCTTTGTTTAATATGCTCACTGCTGTTTTAATGTCTAAAACCTAACCTGTCTTCGCCTCTGATACTTGTTTACCCCTTTCTCTCTCTCTCTCTCTCTCTCTCTCTCTCTCTCTCTCTCTCTCTCTCTCTCTCTCTCTCTCTCTCTCTCTTATTTATCTTATTCCATGCCCTGCCAATTGGCGTAGGCGCTGATGCATCTTCACAGATCGCGATCCCTGGTTGCCTGGAACAGCTCTCTTGATGATATCCCTCCATGCCATCGTTTCAGCCCAGCCAGCATCATCTGTCTTGATCTGCCTCTACCCCTCTTTCCCCTGATCTCCTTAGTTGTCACAATGTTTTCCAATGCCTCTCTTCTCATTACGTGGCCAGAGAACAGTGTTGTCTTCTTCTTATGGTTGTATAAATAGATCATCCGGAGGGTTCAGGCAAGTTCGGTGCGAAGACAACGGCTTGAATCATTACAGAAGTCCACTGTGGGTGGAGTCAACTTTATTTTTGTTCCGGGAGTCGCAGGCTTCAATGGAAATGAAAGAGCTGACAGGTTAGCTGGATCCGATATCACTACTGACGGTCCCCTATGGATCATGCAGATATTATCAATGTCCTCAGAGAATGGGAAGGATAGAAGACGGCTGGCTGATCAGTTAGAACGACTGGCTGATTGGTTAGAACGGCTGACTGATTGGTTAGAACGACTGGCTGATTGGTTAGAACGACTGGCTGATTGGTTAGAACGACTGGCTGATCGGTTAGAACGACTGGCTGATCGGTTAGAACGACTGGCTGATTGGTTAGAACGACTGGCTGATTGGTTAGAACGACTGGCTGATTGGTTAGAACGACTGGCTGATTGGTTAGAACGACTGGCTGATTGGTTAGAACGACTGGCTGATTGGTTAGAACGACTGGCTGATTGGTTAGAACGACTGGCTGATTGGTTAGAACGACTGGCTGATTGGTTAGAACGACTGGCTGATTGGTTAGAACGACTGGCTGATTGGTTAGAACGACTGGCTGATTGGTTAGAACGACTGGCTGATTGGTTAGAACGACTGGCTGATTGGTTAGAACGGCTGGCTGATTGGTTAGAGCGACTGGCTGATTGGTTAGAGCGACTGGCTGATTGGTTAGAACCGCTGGCTGATTGGTTAGAACGACTGGCTGATTGGTTAGAACGACTGGCTGATTGGTTAGAACGACTGGCTGATTGGTTAGAACGACTGGCTGATTGGTTAGAACGACTGGCTGATTGGTTAGAACGACTGGCTGATCGGTTAGAACGGCTGTCTGACTGGCTGATCGGTTAGAGCGCCGGGCTCTCAAGCCGGGGAACCAGGAGGGGGATTTTTCTATCGCGACAAAAATAAAACCCTAACCTGCACAGTCCATGACGACATCACTAGCAATGCGGCTGTAAATCCTCAGACTCAAACCCTACCCACTCACCACACACTCCGCCTGCAAAAGTGGTAAGTTCATTTTTTTTTTTAGATCAGTCTTTATCGCATATCGCCATAATGTAGTGGCAGGAGATCGCCAGTTACAAGTGTTTCGACATTTAGTGTAATCGAGTGTGATTCTCCGCATCTCCCTATCTCCAACAGTGAATTAACTCCTGCATTATTTTATCCCCACGATGCTAAAAGGCTGGCCGTGAATTCGGTCGAGTAGGGGCGATTCTGTGTCCAAATGAAAGAGCCCTAGATGTCACACCGTACTGACGGATGAGGGATCTGAGGAGACAGCCTGCAATTTAGGCAGGAAACTTAACTTGCAGCTGGCTTATTTCTGACATTTAAAAATAAGATTTGTCTCTTCTTCTCATGGCAAACTACTGGACGTAAATTTGCCTAGAAAAACCACACAACAGCCAGGGGCTGTTGGGGTTGGTTCTGTAACGTCCTGTAAAGGATACACAACAACCTCTTCTTCTCTCTGTTTTTCTCTTCAGTCTTCTGATCTCTTCTGTCATGTCTTCTCTTATCTGAGTAGGTTATTAGAAAAGTTAGTCCGATACATCTTATATCCACAAACCATAGGAAATTACAAAAGTCCACATAAAAAAATCTCAGCCTTCATCGGGTACAGAACCCGGGACCTCTAGCACTGGAGACAACTCAGCCCTTCCCCCACCTGTTGTCTCTTACGTGTCGCTAACTGCCAAGTCTCTCTTGGTTCTTTGTCTTCCGTGTGGACAACGTGCCAGCCACTGCAGGCCAGTGTCTTACAACAGGAGTCACAAATTAACGACTGTCTCACGTTCAGCGCTAATAATGGCCCTTTAGTTTGCAAAGGCCCATTTTCCTGTTATTCGTTTCGTTAATGTGTTTCATTCTTTTTCTAACAGATGTCACGCTCTGTCAACTGTTTTAAAATTGTAAATGTTTTGTTCCGTTTGAGCATTTCCTCAGTAAAGTAGACAATTGTTTTCCGTTTAATTTACTGCGGTGTAAAATGTAACAGTAAGTTTTCTTCCGTCTTCTTACAGATACTTTTTGCTGTATGTCTTTAGTCAAAATGTCTCGGCTTCATGCCTTTAGGCATATTAGGCTTATAGGGCTCCATCGCAACGACACCTTTATGTCCCAAGATCTTACCTGGTATAACACAACACAAAAGCGCGCACGCGAAAAACACACACACACACAAACATTGAGATGTAAAAGTATGGAAGTTTTTCGTCAGAAAAATGAAAAACAAGAAAAAGGCAATAATATCAGTTCTATGATATAGTCATGGTTGTAAAAAAAAAAGTAATGATGAAATCTGGCGAATTGTGAGGAAAAAAATAAGCATTTCTAATAGTCGGGTTATGAACACTCGGTGGTGATAAAGAAAGGGGGGGGGGGGGGGAATAAATATATAATAAAGCACAGGGATAGATACATCTGCAGGAAGATTTATAAGAGACGGATATATTTAAAAAAAAAAAAAAAAATAGAAAGATGGTACAAAAATAAAGAAACTTGCGTATGAAGCAGAAACGAGAGAAGGCGTTTAAAGTTAAAACATAAAGATGAAAGAATTAATGTTACAGTTACGATCGAAGTTAGTGCAAGGTGAAGCTGTAAAGATTACAGAGATAAGTGTATGTAACCGTATGTACGTGTGTATCTGTATATATATATATATATATTCGTGTGTTTGGGGGTGTGTGGGTGAAGACAACACAAGGTTCTTGACAACCTTTTGTTAAGCATGGAGGGGGGTCAACACACGCACAAATACACACAGTTGCAGATCGCACATTGGGGAGAGGCATGATCGCCCACGCCAGTCGGCAGGCCACTTGATGATGATGATATATGGGTGTCTATCTGTGGCTTTCGTATTTCCGAAACACCATGTTCAGTTGCAGCTGTAGGCGATTTGACAGCAGACAGCTGTATACTGTCTGTGTCAGTACTGACTGCTATTCTGGCTCCACTGTTGTGTTCGCTGCCACATGTTACGTTAGTGTATTAACCCTTCCGCAGTCAATACTTATCATTTGACAGCATTTATCATGTGGGTAACGAGATTATATTTTTGGGAAAAACAACATAGACCCACTGCCTCAATAGTAAGCATGTCGTAAGAGACGACTAATTGGAGGCATTCCTCAAAGTTAGAGTACGCCTGCCTGGGAGGCAACGAAAACAAGAGTTTGCACACATATAATCCAGGTATGTGAAACGGATGTGCATGCATCAGTCAAATTCTGAAACAAGACTACAGTCCGGAGGTGGACTAACGCCCATAACTGTTCGCCGGAGTTTACTGCCAGTGAACACGAAAAGGATTTGTCAGTGTAAGCAAAGCTTGTCGTGGTCTCTGAGTGGCTTGTCGTGACTGTCGCCCATCCAGTCGTCATAACAGCCAATTAGCAGTGCATCACTGATCCGTAAGTCACAGACTGGACCCGCCATGATTGTTTTCGTTCATCAACATATCGATTCTCGTTTGGCTGGCTTGACAACACAAGCTGTACCCGCCGACTGACTGCAGACCGAGGGTATTAACACGCCGAGGGAATTTGTTTTCATTCTCATGGACTGCTTGAATGAGCAGCTCTTGAGGTAGGAATTGCATCAATCTTCAGGGAATGAAACGCGTTGAAGGGGAAAAGGGGAACGAAAGACAAGCCATTTATTGTTGGGTTAGCTTTTGTTTGACTGTTGTTTTATTGTGGTTTAATGTTCTCTCTCTTTATATCTTGTCTAATCGTCGCAGGGATTCTGTGGTTTAGGGGTATATACCCATATGTGAACGCAGAAGAAGAAGTATACGTCTCAGCTGTAGTAGACTAGTGTTATATTTCTCGTTGTTGTTCTCTTGTACACTCTCCATCACCGTTCTGTCCAGACCACCACGGCTAGACATGTTAATCTCCCTCACCTGGATCTACACACCTGGTCATGCGGGCAAAACAGGGAAATGAGCGATTAGGCTTACTTTCAAAGTAAGCCTAATCCAGTCACATCAGAATGAGACAGAGGGGAGGGGGGGGGGAGAGAGAGAGAGAAAAAGAGAGAGAGAGAGAGGGTTAGTTCACTGTGTAAAATCAGTATTTGTTAATTTTCATATGTTTCTGTAAATTCAAGAGGATCAGCTTTATTGTACCGTTAAATAAAAATCCCACATGGCTCAGTCTCTCTCTATAGAACGCGGCTAGCCGCATGCGGCTTGTCGAGAGAGTCGCACGAACTCTGTAGCTCCGTCGACGATCCCTAGGCATCTCCGAAAAATGTGAATCCTGATTTCAACGACACAGCCGTGAAACGAACCCACGCCATTCAGGGCGCGAGGGAAATGGCTTGTTTCGTAATTCAAATTAAAAATTTAGCAACATTAGGCGTCCCCCCCCCCCGGTCCCGGGGGGGGGGGGGGGGGGTTGTACTAAAAAAAAAAATGGTTGTATTACTCCCAAATTTTGGCAACCCCGATTCCAGTGCTTGTATTTAATATTTGTCCACTGATATATGAATTGAGTGATGTATGAAACCAAGGAGATTAGACAAGCAGAATGTCAGTCGAGCCTGCCCTGCATGCCCAGTTCGGAACACTTAAAAAAGTTGTTTCGTTCGTTGCTTGGTTCGTTCATTGGTTGGTTCGTTCATTGGTTGGTTCGTTCATTGGTTGGTTCGTTCATTGGTTGGTTCGTTCATTGGTTGGTTCGTTCATTGGTTGGTTCCTTTATTGGTTGGTTCGTTTATTGGTTGGTTCCTTTATTGAGTGGTTCGTTCGTTGGTTGATTCGTTCAGTTGTGGCAGCCACCTTGAGACTACTGTCAGCTGTTATCTTTGTCCCAATTTCTGTATTTTTGCTGACTGGTTTTCTAGAGATAGCGCTGGGACCATTATTTGCTGCTCCGAAACCGTTGATAAAGCGATAATACACGAGCGCGTTTCCCTGGCGAGCCATGTAGAAAGCGCAATTTCCGAGGGAAATACACTTAATTTACTCCAACAGACAATAACGACAAGCTGCTAGAGCATAAATCGATGTTCCACTTTAACGATGTTTCACCGTCTCTCTGGTGGTGGTCGGGTTCACGTCTCCTAGGCCTGACAAATGAGGCTACTGGTCCGTACGGTCCTGCGAGTTAATATTGTGCATAGTTTAGGCTAATTAATTTAGTAGTTAGTTTTGTGTCTTGTTCTTAAGGTCTCAGTTTTTGAGTTCCCTGAGACATTTCTATTGTCCCACAATAACAGTAACAAACCGTCGCTAAGCACGAAATGTTTGCTGTCATTTGACGCTCCATCTTCACCGCGGACGAGTCACTCTGTAGTGTCCCCTTGTTTGTGTCAGTGGAAATCACACACAATGTCCTTCGCTGTCCCATTTGAGAAACTAGTAATTAACACAAGACCGCCGTCGTATGTGCCAGCACCAACAGTCTCCGTCCAGAATTGCTTTTCACCTTTGATGCAGGAATCAGTCACGAAAGCCGGTATTTGCACATCCTGCTCAAGTACAAGCCCATGCAAACGCAATCGGTCACTCGTCAGTTTAGTGCAGTGCGCAACACAAAATCGTGTCATGTAACCACTCAGCCGAATAGCTGGGTGACGGCACCTGTAGATCTCAGTCCTAAATGGGAAAATTGCAACCAGGACAACTTGACTAGTAACAAACAAAAATACCCTTCAAAGCGTCAGCGATCAGCCCACCTATTGTCCTTACTAGACCGGAAGTCTAGACACGAAATGTACAGTAGAGTTCGGAAAATTGAACTGGGGTCACCTTTGTAACTTTCTTACCTTTTGGCTTGTGTGTGTTTTTTTTTTTTTTAAATTGTTGTTGAAAGAATTAAATGCAGTTTCCCCACATGTACATTAAAAGTTTACAATTAGTTGCGTTTTCTGTTAATCTAATACATATTGTGTGAATTTAAAATTATATTGTACTCTGTTTTGTTTCAGAATATTTGTCCAGCAGCGAGGTGTTGCATGCTCCTAACGGGAACAACGATAGCTTCAAGCTGCTCCGTGTGGAAGGTGACAAGGTATTCATTGGATCCAGGTAACTAGTTCAGTCCAGTGACTGTTGCTCCCATATTTAACGCAGTTCATTGTTTTTTCTCATCAGTATTTGTCATACTCAGGATATTTGTCATCATCATCATCATCATCATCATCATCATCATCATCATCATCATCATCATCATCATCATCATCATCATCATCATCCTCAGCATCATCATCATCATCATGTTTGTTATCATCATCATCATCATCATGTTTGTTATCATCATCACCATCATCAGGATTTGTCATCATCTTCCACCTTTGCCATCAAAAGACGTGAGGGGGATTAATCCAATACTGGATATGTGGCACCGGATTTTGTCGTTGCATTTGATTGCATAATGTCTTCACTGCCATCTTCCTCTTGGGCGTCATCTTGCAGTTCAACCATTGTTGCTGTTTGTGTTGTTGATATACGAAAAATATTGATAGACATGAGTATTAAAACTTTTGTCTCTGCTGTCTAGCTAGTCGTTCATCGAAGTACATCGTTTCTTTAAGCGATATATTGTTGTTGTTTGCAAACTGTAGGTTCCAAGCTTGCTCAGAGAAACACTTCACAAAAGAGAATCTGACATACTCTTTTGATAGCAGGAACAGAAAGAACGATATTAGGCGATATGTTAGGGGGCGGACCTATTGGTAATTAAACTACACAAAGTGACAACGTATTAAATAGTTCACACTACAGCAAGATAGTGCACCACTAAGAGCCATAAGATAGTGCACCACTAAGAGCCATAAGATAGTGCACCACTAAGAGCCATAAGATAGTACACCACTGAGAGCCACAATTTAGTGCACCATTGAGAGCCATAAGATAGTGCACCACTAAGAGCCATAAGATAGTACACCACTAAGAGCCACAATTTAGTGCACCATTGAGAGCCATTAGATAGTGCACCACTAAGAGCCATAAGATAGTGCACCACTAAGAGCCATAAGAGAATGCACCACCGAGAGCCACAATTTAGTGCACCACTGAGAGCCATAAGGTAGTGCACCATTGAGAGCCATAAGATAGTGCACCACTAAGAGCCATAAGATAGTACACCACTGAGAGCCACAATTTAGTGCACCATTGAGAGCCATTAGATAGTGCACCACTGAGAGCCATAAGATAGTGCACCACTAAGAGCCATAAGATAGTACACCACTAAGAGCCACAATTTAGTGCACCATTGAGAGCCATTAGATAGTGCACCACTAAGAGCCATAAGATAGTGCACCACTAAGAGCCATAAGAGAATGCACCACTGAGAGCCACAATTTAGTGCACCACTGAGAGCCATAAGATAGTGCACCACCGAAAGCCACAAGATAGTGCACCACTGAGAGCCTTGCCGGAACAATGGAAGCAAACTCCTTAGAGTCGCCCACGCTGGCGATAGATGGACGGAATATCTTGTCCCACAAGATAGTGCACCACTGAGAGCCTTGCCGGAACAATGGAAGCAAACTCCTTAGAGTCGCCCACGCTGGCGATAGATGGACGGAATATCTGGGACAGTGACTACCAGAATCCTTGTAGCGCACAGCAAGAGTTACAGCAGGCACTGCTTAAACACGGAAACTGAACATGGCTCGCAACCCCTTTTTGGGGTAAAACGACCCTTTCACAGGGGTCGCCTAAAACCATCGGAAAACACATATTTATCGAAGTTATGAAGTAGCAACGAAAGTAATTGTGTGGTTGGGGGTCGAAACAGCACAGGGAACTGTATTAAAGGGTCGCGACATTAGGAAGGTTGAGAACCCCTGGTTTAGAGAAAAGATAGAAAGAAAGGTTTGGATCCAGGCAAACCCGTGTGGGTTCTTTGGCCCAAATGGGGAAAAAAGAGGTAGAATCGATTCAGTACCTCTTTAACAAGCGTGTCTTACAAAGAGTTTTATGGGAATTTTCTTCCAAACAGAAGTGCATCGGTCTGGGATCAAATAAGCTAAATATGTAGAACTGATGTGCACGCAAAACAGATTTTCTGGAACAAGACCAAAGTCCAGAAGTGGAAGAACAACCAGAACTTTTTGCCAAAGTGTAAGGTGAACGCTTACATAATTAAAAAAAAAAAAGAGTCATTTAGGCGAAGCCACTGTACTGTGTATGCCATCTACTACCAAGCTCTTGTCTCTAATTATCTTACTCCACTCAAAACTTGTTAATTTAATAGTCTTGATGTTTTCCTTGTCTGAGAGGTTCTCCACCAGTTTGAAGTTTAACATTTTGTATTGCGCCCCCCCCCCCCCACCTTTTTCTTAGAAATCGAGTTTATTACCTGCAATTTGGGGCCTTCAAACAAATATCGGTAAGTTGTGTTACTTTCCTGTTGTGTTGTGTAAAAAAAAAAAAAACTGTAATATCGACATGTTGTTGTGTTACTTTCCTGTTGTGTTGTGTAAAAAAAAAAAACACACTGTAATATCGACATGTTGTTGTGTTACTTTCCTGTTGTGTTTTTTAAAATACATGTTGTTGTGTGTTTTTTTTCTGTTGTGTTGTGTAGAAGGCACTGCAATATCGACATGTTGTTGTGTTATTTTCCTTTTGTGTTGTGTAAAAGACACTGTGATATCGACATGATGTTTTGTTACTTTCCTGTTGTGTAGTGTAAAAAGACACTGTAATAATGACATGTTGTACTTGTTGTGTAGTGTACTAGACAACTGTATAATCGACGAGTTGTGCTACTTTTCTGCTGTTTGATGTATTGGGCACTGTAGTATCGACAAGTTGTTATGCTACTTTCCTGTTGTGTAATGTGCTAGACAAGGCACCAGCGCACCGAGTGAAACCAAGCACCAGCAACAATCAGCTAAAACCCACAGAGATGGAAGCTAAGAGAACAGGACCAGACCGGACCCAGATACCCAAGTACCACACCGGACCTAGGAAGACAAAGCACAGGAATATCAGGTGTGACTTCACACCACAAACAATAGGAAACCAAATAAGATAACCAAGGAACCTTCCTTCATATAGCAGGCCCCCAGGCGGCTGAAAGGGGATCAGATTTTGAATTTTTGTTAATCAACTGGAACTAGAAAGAACTAAACGCCTATATCAAGTTGTTGCGTAACGTACTACACATAAGTACTGTCGCTTGATGAAGATCAACTCAGGCATAGCCAACTGCAAAACCCCTAGAGAAGAGCGCCTGTTCTATCCGGTACATAATTGCCACCTTCCTGACCTCACTTCCAACTCAAACCGTTTAACCACTGACCCAAACTTCCCTGCAACAGGGATCTTCTCCTAATCAGCTATAAGCAGCTTTGCCACGAAGGAGAAAGCAACACACAAGTTGTATTAGAGTTTATACAGACTGGTAATCAAGATTGATCGCGCAGTTTGTAGATTTACCTCTCCAATTGATTCACATAGTCTCTTTAGCAAAACAGTCTGTTCTGCAATGGAATGAGGGTCACTGAGGCCTGGAAGGCAGTGCTGTTGCGGATATACCATAAGCGGCAGTGACATGGTCCAGTCAAATTGTGACTCAACCAACCAGGAGACTAACACATTAATTCAGTCTGGTATCCAAGAAGGGTAGTTAGGGTAACCAGACCAAATTATCTTTCCAAGAATCGCTTCCTGGCCTCTCCAAGAGAGGACGATTGTATTATAATCCGGCTAGAACAGGACACAATAAACTTTGTCAACGCATGTTCAGGTTTTTAGGTGTAGGAAACTTAAAGATATATCCCTGCATACCTAAAAATACTAGGCCCGTACTCCAATATTGTAAAATTTACGTTGCTAACATCCGGCTTGCTACAACTTAAATCAAGTCGAAACTGTGTGGTACACAGGGAGATAATGGCAACACGATAACTTTCATCAGGAGTGCTGGCCCCCTTGTGCAAGTTTTTCTGTCTGAAGGATCGAAGAGAAAGAAGGCGTAGGTACAAAACTTTATGACGATCACAAATAAGTCATTAGAAACATCAACACTAACGATCTTGTGGCGAAGAAAACACGGCACGGTTGAGAAACAAATGCCAGTTTGAATCGAACATATGGGTTGCTACTATTCAACTGGTACCAAACTACCAGCATACAATGTGTCTGGGCACCTAGAAGAAATTGAAGACACGGGGATACAAGCGAACATTTCAGTAAGTATCTTTAATAACAAACTCAACCAAAAATTACACGCAAAACTAAACAATCACAAAAAGAAAATAGAAATCTGACTATCACCATCATCATCATCATGAGCAGTGTTTTTTCCTTTGTTTACAGACCCTGGATTGGGTACCAGATAATATATCCACATCCACGTGTATTGGACGAGGAAAGGTAGGCCCTAAATTCATGTTGTGTCATGTCTCTATTGTCTTTGTGATTGTGGTGTAACCAAGAATGAGCCATACGCTGTGTGAAATGAGGAGTAGGTCGTACAAATAACAGTTGTGTTGTATAAAGATCGGTGTGTCTTCCTCTCTTCGATCCTTCTGTTAGAAAACTTATACCATGAGGCCGGTAGCCTCTCTGAAAGCTATCGTGCAGTCCAAAAGATAAGCCTTCGTTGTAGTTTGTAGAGGCTGGAATGCCTGTCTGTTAGCAGCGTACAGTTGGCGGTGTTATAATGAACAAGTATTAAGAACTGATGGGTACCGCGTAAAAAGAAGCAGAGGACACACTAGACAACATAAACGGTCACAAACTTGAGTTAACCTGCTGGGAATCGAACCTGTCACCTCCAGGCGCCTCCATGTAGAAACAGGTATACTATAACGCACAAACACTCGACATTCCACCCCCGCCCCTTCCCCCAGAGGTGTCATCGGTGTTAGGGCACAAGCTCAGCAATGTCTGGGGCCAGTTTTTAGGGACACATCTCCATGTTTCCTACACCGACTTTGTGGAGAGATTGATATGTTTTTGACATGTCAAAGGGGAAGGAGGAGGAAGAAGCAGATGAAATCTTAAACGCAAGAAAAAATGACGAAAACCAGGAGACGCTTGTGCACGCTGCAACAAGAGGAGGTTGCGAAGATTCTATTGACGCTAGTTTAAAGAACTAGTAGTTCAACTGAAGATTGAGAGCAGAGGGGGAGGAAATGAGGTTAGCAATGTTTTGATGGCCTGGCTTGCAGAACACATCGACAGAACATCTTAATCTCCCGGAACAAACGAGGGGGTTCTCTTTCTGTGGAATCCTAACACTTAAAGCTGGCATTGAAATACACCAGGGTGTCATTTGGGCGTATTGATCTGTCTGCTCCGTTTTTGCACCCGTGCTTGGATGTTTGTAACCGAATCACTCTCAGCGCCTTCCACTGTCCGTGTCTTTTAAGAGTTGGGGGTTATCTGAAATCATTGGCCACGGTTTTGTTTGTTTGTTTAGTGGAAGGTGGGAGCCAGTGTTGCCACTTTGGATCTTTTATATCCAAATTTAGATCTTTTTCATTGCATTTAGATACTGTTTTTGACGTTTAGATTGTAAATATTTTTCTAGATTCTTTTCATATGGAGTTAGATTTTTTTTTTCTTTTTCTTTCATTGTCAATTTAATAATTACTGTGTAAAATATTTACTACAATATTTTTGTTTTGGTCTGGCACGTACATTGTGACAACTGCCATTACTTGAACTTCGAACTCTCACTGGGGTCAACGCACAAATATCTGGCAGCCCCGGTACTGATTAATAAAAATGCGCGTAAATCATACTAACTTTGTTTCAACTGTATCCTCACTGTGGTGACTTTGCGTTTCTTTTTCATGTGATTAAAAAAAAATAATTGCTCACATTTTTATGTGGCTTTCACTTTGAAAAAACCTTTCAACATGCCAAAAGTAAAGTATGAGCAAAAAATTTGGAAAGAGTGGTTGCATGATGACAAAATTAAAAACTGGGAATATGACCAAAGCTTGTTGTAAGTACTGCAAGTGTGAAATTAAAGTGAAAATACAAAACTCAAAGAGTCATGCAGCGACTAAAAAAGCATAAAACTGCAGTTTCATTTAAAGATATTACACCGCTGACATCTGTTTTCAGAACTATACTGATAAATGAATCATCAACAGTTGAAGTATCAGTCGCAACTTTTTTAATTTGTCACTGCGCAATTTCAAACTGTGACCATTTGATCGATTTGTAAAAAATCTTGGACTAGTTCAATTTGAAAAGTGTGATGAAGAAAGTATAGTTTAGGAACTGAAGGACCTTTTAATCAGCAAACAGTTAGGCTTGAAGAATTTGGCTGTAACTGGTACTGATAATGCCTCAGTGATGGTAGGCATAAACAATGGCGTTTATGCCAAGTTGAAGGAAGCTAACCCATCGTTAATACTTATAAAATGTATGCGTCATTCATTGCAGCTAGCATTATCACATGCTTCATCTAAATATTTACCAAGGAATTTGGAATACCTTATTGCTGAAACACTTTACTGGTTTTCCAAATCATTTGTCAGACAACAGCAATACAATACATTATATACAGCCTTGAATGATTGTTCCACACCACCGAAAATTCTGTCAGATTGCAAAACTAGATGGTTATCAATTTAACCAGCTGTTGAAAGAATTATGAAGCAATGGCTGAAGTTGAAGATACACTTTGAAATAACAAGACAAAGTGAAAAGTGCTACACAGCTGAAATACTATATGGAATGTACAGTGATGAAAAAAATGTGTCATTCATTATCTTTTTATAACCTATTCTAATGGAAGTGCAAAAAGTTAATAAACTTCGAATCTAAACTTGCCTCATCAAACAGTCCATTCTGTAAGCTCTTTAAAGTGCCATGTCTGCCATGATACTACCCCACTCAAATGCTGACGTAGAAAGAGTTTTCAGTGCTAGGAATTATATCAAATCTAACCTAAAAAACAGGATGAAATTTGACCTCTTAAATGCTATCGTGCCATTAAAATTCGGCCTGATGAGACTAGAAAAATAAGCCTACTGTTCCGCTTATAAAGAAATTTGAACAGCTAAAGCATACCAGTCATTTTGGATCTGAAGCTTCAACTTCATTATCCAAGCTAAGTTTATCACGTGGATCTTGTGAGGCAGACATCAGTGAAGGTGAGGACATGATTATGTAGGGTAAGTCATAACAAAAGCTATGTAATTTTTGACTTTTTTAATTTGGATGTTTTTTCTAGATCTTTTCCACGCAGATTTAGATCTTTTTAGATATTTTTTGAAACCGTTTTGGATATTTTTTGTCAAAGAAAAGTGGCAACACTGGTGGGAGCTCAGCCTTCGTACACATTGATAAGGGGTTGACCCTCAAGGAAACCCTTTTTCAAGTGCTTGATAATAATAGTAATTATATAATAAACGGGAAATAATACCCGCAATGTATATAAAGCAATATATGTTTAGATACAAAATTAAGGAGAAATCTTTTATATATTTTTGGGAGAAGGGCGTGGAAACTAAATGTTGAAACATTTTCGGAAGCTCCCCATCAATTTTAAATGGGGAGAGGGGGTAGCACTCAAGATGCACAAGTCTATGAATTTCGGCGTCCCTACTTCACACGTTGTAGGTGCCTTAATTATAAATTGTTTGGAAAGTTAAATAGGGGGACTGAGTGGACTCGAGGCATGGCGTCTGCCTCGAGTGCTTGAGATCTTAGGTTAAGACCCCGGTGAAGGCGAGGGCTTTTTCTCATGGATTACTGGTAATTTTCCCTGGTGTTTGGGTAGTACGATCAAACGCCCGTGTATTATTGCGCACCTAAAAAATACTTTGGAGTTGGACATCGAAAAGAGCAGCCTAGCGGCGCTGCCTGGGCGAAATCCACCTAAAGTATTTCATGACCTCGCCGGTGCCAGGGAGTTCGTGCACTGCGCTGAGATTATTCGGACTGAGGCGTTAGTTGGAAGTAGAACGGAGCACTTATCTATGGGTTACAACCTGTGTGCCAGGGTGTTGATCCGTTGTTTAAACCAGACCAAGCTTGGAGAGTTGAATGCGGTATCTGGGATCTGCCCTGCTGGTTAGACGTCCAGGCTGAGAGGTTTCAGATCTCAGGATGTGCTGGTCAAGTTTTAGGTAGCAGCCGGGACGTGAACACAGCGATCGATCGATGGCATCTAATTGTGAGTGGTGGACGATGATCAAACAGTCAGTAAAAAACATGTGATCCAACAGCATCCTCTGTTACAGGACCTATGATGATGGTGAATATGCCAGTGCCTTCGCTCTACTTTAAAAAAAAAAAAATTCGGTAGCCAGGGTGTGGTCGACCTAAAACACATAATAGTAATTATTTGTTTTTAAATGTGCTTTTGTAACAAAATTACTGTATATCCATCAGTTATTCAATACTTGGGTATAACAAGGTATAACAATCTCTCCACAAGATCATGTTGACGGCAGTCAAACGTTACATGAATGATACCTTGTATCTTTACTCTAGACTTTCACCGCTTGTATTTTCTATCATTGTAATGGCAGTATGTTAAACATCTATACCAGGGCTATTCAAATGGCGGCTTGCGAGCGAAGTCTGGCCCGCAGAAGCCTAGCAAGTGGCCAGTTGTATTGTATTAATCATCTTTATTTGCTAGTTCTCTGGCCAGTGACTATCCCCCATTTTCAACCTTTTAATTCCTGAGTAAACTTAGTTGTATAACTCTGACCTATGCAGTATGTAAAAAACCTCTGTACTATTTCTACGAATGTAGCTCTTGGATACACCCTCACGGCATGTTTTCCCCCCTCACAGGAGTAACGGGCAGAAATGGGCTTTGTAATATGTTTGTTTAGTTGAATGTGGTAACCCCGGTTAATGATTATAAGTTGTTTAGGGGCGTTAGGTGGGCAGTATCGCGTGTTGGGAGTCTTAAGAGGCCTAGTCGGGAATTACCGATGAATGGCATGTTCCTAGTGTGGCTGGTTAACTATTTTCTTTTCTGTTGCGGCCTCTCTTCTCTCGTTCGAATTCCTGTATCACTTGATTTATCATTTCCTTCACTTCTCTGTCCTCAAATGTTTGTTAATTGTTTTACTTCCATGCGTCCTGTCTTTTCTTGATATCTCTTCACTTGTGTGTGTCGCTTATTGTCTTTACGTTTGTGGTCCTTCCCTTTTATGTTTCCTTTTGTTGTTTGTATTCGTTTCTGTGTTCTCCTCCCCCCCCCCCAACTTATATGTAAAATCTCTTATGTGTACTGTCCTTCACTTCTGCTATCTCTAAGATCTGTATGTGTTTCAATTTTGCGCGCAATTTTTATTTCTTAACTTCGGCGCGCCTTATATTTTCTGCTCTCCTCTTTATTTATACGTTTTCAGAGTGTTGTTTCTTCTTCTGTTTTGTAGCATCTAATACGT